AGTATTTCTAATTGAGAAAAGAAGTTCAAAAGATAATATAGAATATATATAATGAATGCGATTGTGGTAAAAAATAGAAGAATATATTATATTTGAAATGAATACATGGTTGGAGATTATTACAAAAATTAATTGAAATAAATATATACATAGAGGTGTATGAGATTATTCAACATTGGATATTCATCATCAAAAATTTCTTAGATAACAAAATGTAAAATGCTAGCTAAATATTAGGTTGAAATATACATCTTTTTTTTTTGGCCATGAAAACTGTCAAATATTGGCAATTTCATTTTACTTTGATATCTTAACCAGGTTGAGATTGCAAAGTTGGGAAATAACTACCCATGAAAGGTGGTTATAATGATTATTGGACTTTTGTGTAAAGATTCTAGAATAAATTTCCTGATAAAATGTCATCAGCACAAAATGTGGCAAATTTATTAACTTATTCAACAAATATTTATTGAGTTCCTAGTATGTGCCAGATGACATGGCCCCTTCTTCAAAAGTATTTGGAAAGCTACAGTGACTGGCAGTTGTGAAGAACCTTGATGTGATGTGGTGATGCAAATATGCTCATTCTTCCCTTTAGGAGCCATCCATGGTTATCTACTTTATAATCCACTATGCTCCAAGAGCTTACTGTAGTAGTTTAGCTTAACATTTTAGTTTATGGTCTGGGTTCAAATTTCCCACTACTATTTAGTAGCTGTGACCTTGGGCAAGTTATTTACCTCTCTTAGCTTCTGCTATCACATCTGTAAAATCTAGACAATACTTACCTCACTGCAATGGATGAGGAGTCGAAGAGATCTGTCTTTGTCAGCTTGGGCTGTTATAACACAAATATCATAGATTGAGTGGTTTAAAGAGCAGAAATTTATTTCTCACAGTTTTGGAGGCCGGGATGTCCAAGATCAAGGTCCCAGCCAATTTGGTTCTTGGTGAGAGGCCTCTTCCTCGTTTGTGGGACAGATGCCATCTTACTTTATCCTGATATGGAAGACAAGGAGAGAGAGAGAGAGAGAGATCATCTCTCTCATGTCTCTTCCTATAAGGGCACTAATCCCACTCATGAGGACTCCACCCTCATGACCAAATCACCTCCCAAAGCCCCCACCTCCAAATACCATCACATTGTTTATTAGGATTCCGCATATGAATTTTGGGGGGACACCCATATTCACTTTATAGCAAGATCTTATGTAAAAGTGCCTAACCATAAAAAATAATATTTCATCATTATACATGAATACAGGAATGACCAAGACCTAGCTTTGTCTGCCTGCAAGGAAATTATGGTCTTGTAAGAAAATTTTATCTTGAAAAAAACATGGAAACTTGAACATCTTAGGTTGAACATGATTACATGAGGAAAATTTCATGGCTAATTTTTTTGAAAAGCAAAATCTTTTGTAGTAGATTTAGGGCATGGAAGCTAATTCTATGCCTAGTGTGTCGTAGTTCATCTCAGCTCCCAAATATATAAAAGAGTGCTCATTTTATTTTTTAAATTATTGCATATTGCTAATCTTTCTGAAAGAGCTGGGCAGAGTTGAACTAAAATGCACCCCACTGAAGTATACTTCAGAATTCTCATTATCTTATATGAGAATATCATTATCTCATTATTTTATATGAGAACCTGCATATAAAAGCATTTTTGAAGAGTCCACTCCTTGCAGCCAAGCAACACAGCCTAAAAGCATCATAATTATAAAATTTGGTCAGAATTTAGTCAAAGGAAAAGAGTCTTTAGATGATCTCAGGAGAGTCCCTCAGCTAAGATAATTTGAAGAAAGATACTGCTATAGGGAAGAGCTTGTCGAAAGGGCTGGAACACTGAGTCCATTGGACAAGACTTCATCCTCCATGGTGATTGCAAGATACACATTAAACAAGTTCTATGTCTGCGGTTGTTTTGAATTCTTATGCCATGCTCCATGTCACAGCTTTAATGTGCTGACACAGCCCAGCTTGCCTAGAACTCCTCAGTGCTTGAGTAATTGAAGGAAGGTGTATTTACAAAGCATTATATAGTATTATATAGTTGGTGTTTTCAGAACTCACTAACTCTCTCTGCTCTGTATTGATTATGCAGTTTAATTTTCAGAGAACAATCTAATTTCCCTCATTTACAATTTCTTGAAGAATACCTCACCATAGTCTTCCAATACTGACAACACTGTTCAGGTGTCATTCAAGCAAATTTTATATTATGCTTTTTAATTAGGCTGTCTAGTTAGAGATAAAGGATAATATAGGTTGCAAAATTATATTCTTTTTAAATAAAACATAAAGACTAAGAAATAAATACAGTGAAGTTTCCAAGGTTAAAAAAAAACCACACCAACGTACAACTATAATTGAATTGGAAATGTTTTAAATTAAGGATTTTTAAACAGATATTTAGAGAAAAATATTTTACAATGTTAGACATACACAAGCCAAATTCTTTAGCCCATAGAATAGGTTATGATTAAATGTATCATTAGGACAAAGAGAAAGTTAAAGATGGCTTCCCAACCAAGTCATACTTAATTACAAAGTTAATGGCCAGTGTCCTGAATAAAATCAAACTCTGACAACATATTTTCAGGAGCATTAAAAATTAATATAACATATAAAACAGCAATATATTATATTTTCTCTCATGGGAATTATAAGCACAGTATTTAAAACCATTTAGGGGGCCGGCCTGATGACACAGTGGTTAAGTGCACACACTCTGCTTCTGTGGCCCAGGGTTCACAGGTTCAGATCCCTGGTGCGCACTGACGCACTGCTTGTCAAGCCATGCTGTGGCGGCATCCCATATAAACTAGAGGAAGATGGGCACGGATGTCAGCCCAGGGCCAATCTTCCTGGGCAAAAAGAGGAGGATTGGCATCGGATGTTGCTCAGGGCTGATTTTCCTCACCAAAAAAAAAAAAAAAAAAATTGTTTAGACAAGTTGAGAATGATTTTCTCTGTATTCATTTATAAAACTTATATTTTGGAGTTTGAAAAAGACATCAAAATGCTATAAAATACCTTTTCTAAAATATCTCTCATTGTCAAAAATTAAACCCAAACGAACATAAAACAATGATAGGTACACGTAGGACATTCATGTATTAAATATTAAAAATTTACGCAATTAATCAAAATAACCTTAGGAACAATGCAGTATCACTTTAAGAAGCAATAGAGATGTTATGAAACAATTTTAATATTTTGATGCTGTGTGATGTATATTAATAGTCAAACTCCGGGAAACTATTGGGTTATCATTGAACTTAACGGAGACTGTTCTCCACATGGTTTTTTAAAATTATTATTTCCATCATAAGAAAAATCCAAAAAGTTTGATACTTTGATTTTATTCATTATCCTTATGAAAAAATGTCTCCGATCAGTAGGCATCTTATATCTACTAAAGAAGTAAGAAAGACAGTTTTCAAAATGGTATTTCTGAGCATTTCAGTAGAGATAGCTGGGTAAGAAAGGTTACGAATTTTGAGTGTGGTTCTTTTACACAGCCAGGAGGCCTGAACTGCCTGATGATTCTGTTAGGATCTTTTTAAATCTTCCCATTTCAGTTCCTTTTTTCAATCTAGCTTGACATTGACATCAAGCCAGGATGCTCCAACAGAAACACTTTTGTTAATATCCTAATATCACTAATAATAAACTGGTATTGAACTTGATCATTCAGAACAATGCAGAATAAATAATAGCCAGATCAAAGGCATTATTAATTACTACTATTTCCTTTAAACACAGTGTTTGGGGTTCAAAATATGTATGTTTGTGTCAGGGAAGAACCCCAGAGCCGATTTCCCCTGTTACGAAATTGTCCGTTATTTCAGTCTTCTGTCTTGTGTGTTTCATGGGCCTTTTTTAAAAAAAAATTCTCATAGAGGGAAACACTGTTGTTATATATGCATTTTATCTCTGTTCCCTAGAGCTAATATCCTTAGAGAAGTTGATGAAAACTACATAGGCTTTCCTGATTTTTTTGTGTGTGTGTAAGGAAGATTAGCCCTGAGATAACACCTGTTGCCAATCCTCCTCTTTTTTGCTGAGGATGATTGGCCTTGGGCTAACATCCATGCCCATCTCCCTCTGCTTTATGTGAGATGCCTGCCATGGCTTGATGAGTGGCACGTAGGTCCGAGCCGGGATCCAAACCTGTGAACCCTGGGCTGCCAGAAGCCGAGCGTGCAAGCTTCATCACTATACCACCAGGCAGGCCCCTAGACTTCCCTGATTTTTTAGCCTAGAAAGTCACACAGCATCACTTCCACTATATTCTGTTGGTTACTAGTGACTCACACAGCCAAACTGACAGTCTGCCCAGCCCGGGCCTCAGCACTCTCTCTTCTGTCCTTCTGAAATGTGTCTTCCTTTCTGCTTCATCTCTGTTGGTCTAATTCCTTTCCATCTTTCAAGGTCCACTCAGTACCATCTGCCGAAGCCTTTCGTGATCCCATCGTTTAGCTATCAGAGCTGGTACCTTTGTGGTGGAGTTCAGAGAAACATCAGTTCAAAGCCCAGGCCGCCTATTAAAGAACTCCATGACCTTAGTTATTTAATACCTTTATGTGAAAAGCAGGAATAATATCAGGACCTACTTCCCTTATGAGATTGTTGTGAAGGATGAATGACAAATCAGTACAGAACATTCCCTGTGACACATAGCAAGTACACAGTGTTAGCTATTATTGTCATTATATCTTTTTTCTCCAAAGCCCATAGCATTTTATTTGTACCTTTTTTGTGTCTATTATAATCGGGCCCTTGTGATAATAATTTGTGGGCTTATTTTCTATCTTCTGCATATTTAGATCAATGTCTTACAGGCAACTTATCCCAGTATATATCAGTATCTTGAATACCGATTCAGAGCTCTTCTGATTCTTTAAGCCTCGGTAAACAAAACACGTGAAGAAATTTGCCATTTTTTCTCTGTTATTCCTTGTAACCTCTTCTCCTCTTGATTCTTCTTACAGAAATTAGAAAAGAAAAATCTGAGAAGACTTCAGTTCTGAAGGATAAAGGTAATAGAGTCAATTTAACATAACACTACAAATTTATTAGCAAAAATATCTGAATGAGTCCATAGTACCTTAGAGTCACCTCCTTTGCAGCAGTGTGGGCCAAAATTGCACGAGTCGCACTCATATAGTTGAAAACTTGTATTTAATTACCTGTCCCTCAAATACCTTCTTCCAGTTCACCATGACCTAAAAAAGTGCTCTGATTACAATTTCCAAAAGAAATAAAAAAAAAAAAATAAAAGAGAGAGAGAGAGACAGGATTTTCTGTAAAGAATGAAAATGTTAAAAAAATAAAAAGTTAGAAGGGAAGTAAAGACTATAGAAAGGACTTGCCTCCATGCCCTCTGGTTTTCTCCTTGCTATCTGTTTGTAAAATATATGTTGAGTGCATAATCCTTCCAAGCACTTGCTAATCATTGGAGAAACAAAGATGGCAAAGCTAGGAATAGGGAGGAAGACTTGGGAATGGCAGTTCTGAATTCTGTTGTTTTCAAAGACTCTTAATCATGTTTTGTCTGCTTTAGTCCAGTCAGGCTTCTTACTGTTACGAAAGAGCATGACATTCTTATTTAAATTTTGTGATTTCCATCTCCTGAATGGACTGACTTTCCTCTCTGTCTGTCCAAATCCCAGAACTCTTTCTAAGAATAACGTCTACATAAAGCATCAAGTCTTCTTTACCTACTTCAACCTTCACTGAAACCCTCTCTTCTGAATTCATATACTTACAATATTTATAATCTATCATCTATCTATCTATCTATCTATCTATCATTGTTTTTTATTAATTAATTGAAATGCCACCTATTTAAGCATCAAGACCTGGTGTTATTCACCATTTTTTTTTTTGTGAGGAAGATCAGCCCCGAGCTAACATCTATTGCCAATCCTCCTCCTTTTTTTTACCCCCTGTTCTCCCCAAAGCCCCAGTAGATAGTTGTATGTCATAGTTGCACATCCTTCTAGTTGCTGTATGTGGGACACCGCCTCAGCATGGTGGGACAAGTGGTGCATCAGTGCGCGCCCGGGATCCGAACCCGGGCCGCCAGCAGCGAACTGCGTGCACTTAACCTCTAAGCCACAGGGCCGGCCCCCTATTCACCTTAATTTTTTACGTAGATTGATTGTTACCACCTTCAATAGTTATTTTTTACACATCTAACATACAGTAATCAGAACATGTACTCACTAGACACTAGGAATACAATAAAGGGATGGTCTATGCCCTCATGGAATTTACAGTATTAATTACATAATGAATTAAAATTATAAGAATCGTAGAGGAGATGTACAGGGTGCTGTAAGAGAGTGTAATTGGAGATCGTAATCAAGTCTGGGGAATCAGAGAAGGCTTTCCTGAAGAAGTTATATTAAACTCAAGTAAGAAGGATGAGGAGTTAGCCAGGCAAAGGTGTGAGAATTGTTTGTGAGAAGTACAGAAGTGGGGCATCTGCTCTCTTCCAGGCACATTGATAGCTACTTTACACATTTTGCTTCAGCTGGTTGTGCTTGGTATCTCAATTTTTATAAATGCGGAAGCTGAGGTACAGATAACGCAAGTCACTGAGTGTGACACTGGGTAAGAGGCGAAGGCAAGAATGCAAATCAAGTCTGTCAGACTTTAAAGTTCATCTCCTTTTAACACAGATACTGCTTGTACCTTAAAATAGGGTTCTCATTTATATTCTTCAAAGCCCCTTTGCTTTGAGTGTAGAATGTGTTACATGCCCCTTTGCTTTGAGTGTAGGACATGATGGAAAAATCAATTTGACATAGACACATTGGCTACACAGTATGGAAAAATAGTCTTAGTCCTTTTGCTGACTCCCCACCATTCCCACAGAGGAGTTTAGTCTATTTTTCTCCAGTGGTTACCTGTAATTTGGAAGACACTCCTTCCCATCCTCCATTCTCATTTTATCTGACAACTAACAGAACATTGTCATTGATTGTGTAAGAACTAAAAGTTTCATTATAATATACTATCAGGGAAAGCCATATATGTATATATGATTTGCCAATCACGTTTGCAAAATCTAAACCTTCCCTCCTTCCAATGGATGATGAAATACATTTATTTTGGTCCACGCTTACATCACAGGAATATTTGGACCATATATTATTGTTTACTATAAAAGCAGCTTGAAAGAAATGTTGAGGTTTACCTCCAAAACTACCTTTCAGGCAATACTGATTATCAAAAATTTAAACTATACTACTTAACGACCTCACTTGTGCCAAAGTCTAAACTAGTTGAAAATACTAGTTGTAAAAATCTGTCCTGGAAAACATTATCTGCAGAGTTAAATCCACACTGAGCTCTTCACTAAGTAGGCTCTTATACTTTCTATTATTGTTGTTATTGTTATTACTGTACAGTTGCAGGCAATTTCCTGGTGAACACTTTTTCCTCCATGTTAAATCCTCTACTGTTTGCAAGATGTCTCCACAGTCACTAGAAAATTATGTATATAAAGGTTTATTGCATATGATAATTGATTTAGAACTATTTTACATGAACCTGTATTTTTATTCAAGCTGGTTAATGCCCTCAAATGTCTTTGTTATATAAAAGTTGGATACTATTTTAGAATTTTATTGCCATCTTTCCTTTATTTTCTGAATATAATTTATCACTGCAAAAAAATTTTAAAAAGTGCATTATTACCTATAAGATTTCAGGAACTTTAGAAATCTCTGCAGGGTTATTGCTTCTGGAGAGGCTCTTTGAAGCCTGCTGCTGAGCTGTGGCAGAATCAGAATGCAGCAATTCCACTTGCTAAAAAACCACTTATTGCATTGGAGTAATTGTATTTTGCGAGTTATTTCTATTAAGTGGCTAAGAGGTTGCCTACATTTGCTGGACTCTCATAGATTCCACTTGAATGTACACATTAGAACCCATATTGAAGCAATGCTACAATTCTAAAACCAGAATTATTACACGGAAATCATTTGGGACCTCATTTACGGGGGATGTGATAACCCTGAGTAAATTAGACTTTTAGAGAAACATCATTAGGCTTGTGTCTTTATTTAAGGAGGTATAGAGAGGTCTAGGGATGATTGTTCCAAAGAAAAAGAGCGGGAGAAAGACACATCTTGCTGGCTTTCAACTACTGACTTTCCTGGGCTAGTGGACTTATGTAAGTCCCCTCAACACACTGGAAGGCAGAGGTCTGCTTATGTGGCCATGACCACCCAGAAACCAGACAACCCTGTTGGTCATTCCTGTTATTGGTTATATTCCTTCTAGCATCCACCCTTATCCTGTTGCCACTTGATTCTTAAGCTGGTCTGACTTAACTGAGGATGCAAGTTTCACCCCTGGGCTGAAGAACTGCAAACTGAACCCAAACAAGGCAACAAGGAGATGAATTGCTTTCTCCTTATCTGAGAATGCAATAGTAGCACCCTTGGGTTCCTCCGGTGTTGGAGTAGTATGATGGATGTTAGAATTACTGACGAGTTTTGTGACCCAGGCGTGTGTACGTTTGGATCTAATGCCAGAGGATTCTCAGCAGAGCTTATCTTCTTTTATCTTCTGATGCTCAGGACCGTGCACCTGATGCCCTCCCAACTTCTATTTCTCTTCAACATGCTTTTTCTTCGCCATTCCTACTCATGAAACAAAAACTAGAGCTAAGGAGGGGGTAAGTTGTCTGAGGACTTTGAAACTGATCCCCAATTTATCATGGACACTCACCCTAGTTCGTTACTCTTTGTCTCTGAGGATGGTTTAGGGGAATGGAAAACCTGAACCCGTCTTCCTATTCCTTTGAAATTTTTTTCCATCACAACTTCCTTGCCCAGATTATTTTGAGAGTTCCAATTTATATCCCAGCACCTTTAAATACATTCTAGATCCTGATAATCAAGATTCATAAGCCTTCCTGTAGGTTCTTGGACAAATGCAAAGAAACTACCATGTTTGTAAAAACAACACAAAAAATGTGCTCTCCAATGCTTTGCTCCTGACAAACAAGGCAGATGCATTGAAAAATGCCTTAAACTGCCTTAAAATGCCTTAAACCAATGATGTCTCTATCCTTCCTAATGCAGAAGTACAGAATTTCCATATACCACTCTCTTCCACCTTTTTTGTCAGCTTTCATATCCCACTCGCCTCCTTGGGTAGTTAGAGACTGCTAAGACCAGACTGTGGACTTCCTAAATCAGGTTAAAACCTCTTGAAGTCAAAAAGGACACTGAGCAGAAATGAGCTGCAGGAAAGTCAGTGCAGGAGATGACCCAGCCTGGGAGAAGAATGCATCTTCCCGTTAACAAACTTGGAAGTAAAAATCACTCCTATTTTCTGACACCTTTCTCCAAATCTAAGATGATGGGTTTATGACCTTCAAATACCCTGTACAAGTATACCATCATTCCACCCCTTCTTTCTTTCTCCATGCAAATCAAAGCTGTCTTGTGAGTCCTCTTCCTAGGTCTTGTATTTTATAACTAGTTTAATCTCACACAAACGTATGCACTCACACATATAAATCAACATGCTGAATCTTGAATTCTGAAGTTCCAGGCATGGCGCTTTCCCACCCCAGGTGGGAATCTGTCCTCACCACCACTTCTCATTTCACAATACATTAATTCTTTTGGTTTAACCAGGAAATGCGAAAGCAGTAAATTACTCGCATCAGCTTGAAAAAAAGTTAATGAAGCTTCTCAGTGTGTTTATTCAATCCATGGCTCTTGATTTCATCTTCTCATGCTGAAGTATAGAAAAAAAATTGGTCTTATTTATATTTAGTACAATAAATGGCAACATGGACATTTCTCTGCCACCAAAGCCATTTTTAAAAATTCCACAGACATATGGATATTTAAGTATCTAGCTTATCTATTAAGAAAATCTTGCTTTGAGGGACACAGTCTTTTCAGTAGAATCCCTAACTCCATTCTTAATACCTACTAAAGTCACTTGGACTCAATTAATTCTAAGTAATTGCTTCAGTGGCATATTCATTTACAAATACCAACATCATATTCTCCGCATCCGACCCCAAACCATAAGGTGGGAATAGAATAAAGGGCTGGAAGGATAGATTTCTTTCTTTCTTTCCTTTCTCACTGCATTAAAAGTCATTTTTGTCAGTATAATGGATACTGAAATTTAGTGTTGCAGAGGAGGCAGAAAACTGGTTTATCTTTTATATAGACTGTTGAGGAAGTATAATGTTGTTCAAGATATTGACCATGTATATGTCTGGAACCCATGATATGATCAGAATTGCTTTGTATTTGAACCTGGTAGAATAAATGAAGTTTTACTTGATTTACTTTAGCTAAGCATTTTTAAGATGTTGGGAATTCATAGAAATTGTCCCTCATATTTTATTTTAGTCTTATTCTTGAAATTTGTTTGACTTGAGTCTGATGACTAAAACACTGCATTTACATGATATATGCAGTGTTTTCCATTTGATTGCTTATTTTTTTAAAACACATAGCCTGAAAGAGATAAACTAAGTTAGTGCTGATTATAAGAGTTTGGGGATACTTGTAGATACTGAAGCCATTTGTTTTTTAAAATTATAGATAAAATAAGTTCCTATCCATCCAAATGTCCATCCTCTTAAGTGAACGAATAGATCATAACTCACTAACCATTTCATTTATTTTAAATATATGTGATCCGAGGATGGCTTGTTGTACTCTATACTGTTGTTTCTTTGTCTCCGGATGATTAAAATTGTTTTTGAAAGAAAACGTCATATCATTTCCACCAGGGTTCACCTTACTGATTACTCACTAACTCCGTTATATATGTGTTCTCAAATCTTTTTATCTTGGCTTCAAACAAATGCTCCATGTTTCTTTCCAGAGCCTATTAAGGGGAAAGAAGTGAAGGTTCCAGCTTCCCTAAAGGACAAAGGTAATATTCTATCATGAAATGGGAAAACACACTGATCTGCCTATTGCAACAAAGTAATACATCATTTCTTTTTCAGGGTCTCAAAATTATGACTTTCATATGCCCTCATATGTTTTTGAGCAAAGAAATAAAGAACTTATTTCTTATCGCAAAATTCTAAATTGTACTATGAAACAACTAAGGAAGGAGTAGCTATTTCAGAAATACTAGAAAAGCTTTTAAAAATGCATATGCTATTCTGAGTCCATGAGTCTGTAGTGGAAAATCTACATTTTATAAGTAGCCCAAGGTGAATCTTTTCAGGAATAGCTGTGGAGACCAAAGATTTAAGATGAAAATAATACTTAAAATTTCTCAGTGATAGCTTACCATTCTGTTATATTCAGATATAGTAAAATTCTAAACAAATTTTATACCTAGGAGCAACTTATGAGATAAACTATAGTCCAATACCCTCATCTTACAGATAAATAAAACCAAAATAGTCAAGAAACTTTTCACAGTTATTGTAATTTGCAGCAGAGTCATCAATAGAACTCCAATCTCCTAAATCAACCACTGTGCTCTCACTAATGCATCTTATTGTACCTCTGGCCTTCTCGTGATACTAGGCTCAGAGTAATGTGGGTTATGATATGCCATTCATCAGATTATATCCCCTGAAACATAAGTAAATGTGCTCAGTCCGATGTAATACATTTAGTTTTGAATTAATCCTGGTACATTCTACTGGCATGGGATCTTACTCAGAATTGTCTAATATTTGTTGCTGTCAAAATGAACACATTAGTGAACTAGTGAAACCATGAAATATACCTATTATATTGAATGTTAGAAATGGAACCTATTTCTACATTTACCCTAAAGAAAAGATCTGTGTGAACTATAGACCAATGTACAGGGGCTTAGTGGTAAAAATTCCAACTTATTGGCATTGTTTTATTAAAAAGAAACAGACTTTTTATGAATTTGTATAAGTGTATGTTGGAGTTTGGAGAAACATGAGAGAGCAACGGGAGGAGAAAGCTGACAGGAGAATCAGTCAGAGAAGTGAAGGATGCATGGAGAGTCCCCATTAGTCAGTGTAGCAATGTATAAAAACTATATCCTCAGGTCATAGTTTCCTAACTTGGCAATTCATTTTAAATCAAACAAAATTGTTATTTAATGAAGTACAAGAGTACAACATGATTTTTTTCTGAGCTCACATAGATACTTGACTTTTTAAAAAGGGAACATGGACTCCAAAACTATTAAGGCATTTATGTTTCACTTTAGAAATGTAGTATCGTATCTAAAACTTTATTTTTATCATCATCAATGATAGTAGTTATTTTGGTGCTATACACAATTTTATATTATTCTGGTATAATATGTAAATTAAGATATTTTGCCTTGCAAGAAGATTCTTGCATGTTATATTCAATGTCCAATAGGCAGAAAATGTTCCTGTATTATATTATTTAAGGGACGAATTAATTGTGAAGACTAATGACATTCCTCTCAATTTACCTAAACACTAATTTATTTTAAAGAAACTCTAGATTTGTTTAACAGGATCTGACTCTTGATTGGAATGGATGTTTACATACCAATATAAACTGAAATGATTTGATGCCATTAAGTAATTTAGTCACACAATAATGTTATAATTTCTTTGCCAATCTAAGACAGAAATATCAAAAATAAGGAACAGACAGGAATATTATAAATATCCACATTTTGTATTAAGGAAATTCAGTTAAAAAGTTTTCCCATAAGAGAAATGCATATGTAATATACACATCAATGAAAAACACTTCAAATTTCCACTAAAAACACTTAGTGTTCATTTCAGTCTTCAATCACTGGAAATATCTACTTAAGAGTTAAGAGTTTCCTCCCTCTTCTTCCATCTTTCCAGGTATCCTCTTTCCATGACCCCAATCAGATGGTCAGTCTAGCACCAGCCACTTCATGGTCACAGATAATGGTGGCGGGGAAGGGAGCATTTTGGAAAAGATGCATTTTTTAAAGTTATATTCTCATTTTACTAACACTGATTTTTTACATTATTGCACCATTTTATTTCTAACTTTTAATGACAAGTATGTGTAAACAAGGGTTTTCATAAGAAGTCAATTAAATGCAATCAACAGAACTATTATTTTAAATATTGTTCTATTATTTCTTTTAGAAATTGAGGCTTCAAATAACTGCATGAGGATATTTAATTAGTCTTTTTTATTGTATCATTTAAAGTGACAATGATCTGTCTTAGTAATGTGCTAGAATATTAATGGTGATTTGAAATTTTATGAATTGAATTTCATCATTTTTTTTCCCCAAACAACCAAACATTGGTTGGACATTTTGACACAAAAATGTAATCATGATATGCACAGTGTCTTTCACTTTCACCTGTGAGAGGTGGTGTCACGTCAGGCTTTCTTTCCTTAAAGGGAGTCAGTGTCATCTCACATATATCGGAACAGTCAGAATTCAAACAAATCTTTACTAAAAGAGAAATCAACGTCAAAAGAAATTTTGTTAGGTTAAAAGTTTAACAAGTCTTCTTTTAGCAAATAGAGAAATTCTTAAAAATTTCATTGAAGGTCCACTAAAAAAGTGTCAGATATAATGATATTATGCACACTTAAATGGGTAAGTTCACAAATATGTGTAAATTAAATAACACACTCTTGAAAAACCCAATGAGTCAAAGAAGAAATCAAAAGGGAAGTTAGAAAATTTCCTTAGACAAATGAAAACAAAAACACAGTATACCAAAACATGGGACACAGCAAAAACAGTACTAAGAGGGAGGTTATAGTAATAAACACTTACATTAGAAAAGAACAACCTAACTTTACCCGTCAAGGAATTAGAAAAAGAAAAAATTAAGCCCAAAGTTAGCAGAAGGAAGGAAATAATAAAGATTAGAGGAGAAATAAATGAAATAGAGAATAGAAAAATCAACAAAACCAAGTTTTTTTTTTTAAATCAACAAAATTGATGAAACTTTGGCTAGATTAAGAAAAAAAGGAGTGAAGAGTCAAATAAATAAAATCAAGATTGAAAGAGGAGACATTACAACAGAAATAAAAAGAATCTCAAGAGACTACTATGAACAATTATACGCCACAGATTGGATAACCTAGAAGAAACACATAAGTCCTTAGAAACATACAATCTATCATACAACTGAATAATGAAGCAATATGAAATCTGAACAGATCAGTAATAGTAAGGAGATGGAATCAGTAATCAAAAACCTCCAAAGAAAGAAAAGTCCAGGACCAGATGGTTTCATAGGTGAATTCTACAGAAAAATTAATGCCAACTCTTCTCAAACTCTTTCAAAAAACTGAAGAAGAGGGAATACTTCCAAACTCATTTTATGAGGCCCTTATTACCCTGACACCAAAACCAGGCAAAGACACTAAAAGAAAAGAAAACTACAGACCAATATCCCTAGTAAGCATAGATGCAAATCCTCAACAAAATAGTAGATAACTGAATTCAACAGCACATTAAAAGGACCATATACCATGACCAAGTGACATTTATCTCTGGGAGATGCAAATATGGTTCACCATAGGAACATCAATCGATGTGATACCCCAGATTAGTAAAAGGAAGGATAAAAATCACATGATCATCTCAAAAGATGCAGAATAAGCATTGACAAAATTCAACACTTTCGTAATAAAAACTCTCAAAAAGCTAGAAATAGAGGAAATTATCTCAACATAATAAAAGCCATACATGATAACATCATGTTCAACAGTGAAAAACTAAAAGCTTTTCATCTAAGATCAAGAACAGGGCAGGGCTGCCACTTTCACCACTTCTACTCAACAGACTACAGGAAGTCCTAGCCAGAGAAATTAGGCAAGAAAAAAGTATAAAAGTCATCCAAATTGAAAAGGAAAAAGTAAAATTATCACTGTTTGCAGATGACATGATCTTACATGTAGAAAATCTTAATGACTCCACCAAAAAACTGTTAGAGGGGCCGGCCTGGTGGCGTAAGCGGTTAACGGCGCCGTGCTACACTGCGGCGGCCTGGGGTTCCCCGGATCGGATCCTGGGCGCACACCCACGCACCGCTCGGCAAGCCATGCTGTGGCGGCGTCCCATATAAAGTGGAGGAAGATGGGCACGGATGTTAGCTTCAGGCCAGTCTTCCTCAGCAAAAAAAGAGGAGGATTGGCAGATGTTAGCACAGGGCTGATCTTCCTCCCCACCCCCCCCAAAAAAAGTCTGTTAGAACTAATTAAGTAATTCAGTAAAGTTGCAGGATACAAAATCAACATCCAAAAATCAATTGCATTTCTAAACATTGACAATAAACAATCTGAAAAGAAAATTAAGAAAACAATTTTATGTACAATAGCATCATAAATAATAAAATGCTTAGGAATAAACTTAACTAGGGAGACAAAAGACGTGCACATTGAAAACTGCAAAACATTGGTGAAAGAGTTTAAAGAAGACACAAATACATAGAAAAACATCCTGTGTTAATGGATCAGAAGACTTAATATTGTTAAAATATCCATACTATCCAAAGAGATCTATAGATTCAACGCAACCCCATCAAAATTCCAATAGCTTTTATTGCAGAAAGAGAAAAACAATCATAAAATTCATAAGGAACAACAAAGGACCCTGGATAGCCAAAACAATACTGGCAGTACTGGTGTAAAGACAGATGATAACCAAACAGAATAGAGAGCCCAGAAATAAGCCTACATGTAGGGTTAACTGATCTTGGACAGAGGTGCCAAGACACAATGGGCAATCTCTTTAACAAATGGTATTGGGAAAACTTGAGTGTCCACATGCAAAAGAATGAAATTGGATCCCTATCTTACACTGTACACAAAAATCAACTCAAAATGGATTAATGACTTTAACATAAGGCCTGAAACTGTAAAATTCCTAGGAAAAAATCTTCATAACATTGGTCTCAGCAGTGATTTCTTGGATATGACACCAAAAGCACAGACCGCAAAAAGAAAAATTGACTTATGCAACTACATGAAAGTAAA